GCGCGTCCCCCCCTCGGTGACCCCGGTGCCACCCCGCGTCCCCCCCTTGGTGACATCCCAGTGCCACCACGCGTCCCCCCCTCGGTGACCCCGGTGCCACCACGCGTCCCCCCCTTGGTGACATCCCAGTGCCACCACGCGTCCCCCCCTCGGTGACCCCGGTGCCACCACGCGTCCCCCCCTTGGTGACATCCCAGTGCCACCACGCGTCCCCCCCTCGGTGACCCCGGTGCCACCACGCGTCCCCCCCTTGGTGACATCCCAGTGCCACCACGCGTCCCCCCCTCGGTGACCCCGGTGCCACCACGCGTCCCCCCCTCGGTGACCCCGGTGCCACCCCGCGTCCCCCCCTTGGTGACATCCCAGTGCCACCACGCGTCCCCCCCTCGGTGACCCCGGTGCCACCACGCGTCCCCCCCTTGGTGACATCCCGGTGCCACCACGCGTCCCCCCCTCGGTGACCCCGGTGCCACCACGTGAGCGCTGATCCCGTTAAGAGCCTTTGCCCGGGGGGGGGGGAGGTGACACCATGGCCACCCCCCCGGCCCGCACTGTCCTTGTCACCGGCTGCTCCTCGGGCATCGGCCTGGCCGTGGCCGTGCAGCTCGCCAGGGACCCCCAGAAGCGATACCTGGGTGAGAGGGGGTCCCCAAGTGTCCCCAAATGTCCCCAAGTGTCGCCAAGGCGGGAGGGGGACACGAGAAATAGCGGGGGTTTTTGGGGGTCCCTGATGAATTTTTGGGCTGGCAGTCCTGGCCACCATTCGGGACCTGTCCCGGGGTGTTTTGGGGTGTCTCTAACGGGGTTTTTGGGGTTTTTAGGTTCCCTAATGGGGTTTTTGGGGTCTCTAACGGGGTTTTTGGGGTCTCTCACCGAGTTTTTGGGGGTCCCTGATGAATTTTTGGGCTGGCAGTCCTGGCCACCATTCGGGACCTGTCCCGGGGTGTTTTGGGGTGTCTCTAACGGGGTTTTTGGGGTTTTTAGGTTCCCTAATGGGGTTTTTGGGGTCTCTAACGGGGTTTTTGGGGTCTCTCACCGAGTTTTTGGGGGTCCCTGATGAATTTTTGGGCTGGCAGTCCTGGCCACCATTCGGGACCTGTCCCGGGGTGTTTTGGGGTGTCTCTAACGGGGTTTTTGGGGTGTTTCTAACTGGGTTTTTGGGGTTTTTAGGTTCCCTAATGGGGTTTTTGGGGTCTCTAACGGGGTTTTTGGGGTTTTTGAGGTCTCTAACGGGGTTTTTGGGGTCTCTAACTGGGTTTTTGGGGGTCCCTGATGAATTTTTGGGCTGGCAATCCTGGCCACCATTCGGGACCTGTCCCGGGGTGTTTTGGGGTGTCTCTAACGGGGTTTTTGGGGTTTTTGAGGTCTCTAACGGGGTTTTTGGGGTCTCTCACCGGGTTTTTGGGGGTCCCTGATGAATTTTTGGGCTGGCAATCCTGGCCACCATTCGGGACCTGTCCCGGGGTGTTTTGGGGTGTCTCTAACTGGGTTTTTGGGGTTTTTAGGTTCCCTAATGGGGTTTTTGGGGTCTCTAACAGGGTTTTTGGGGTCTCTCACCGGGTTTTTGGGGGTCCCTGATGAATTTTTGGGCTGGCAGTCCTGGCCACCATTCGGGACCTGTCCCGGGGTGTTTTGGGGTGTCTCTAACGGGGTTTTTGGGGTGTCTCTAACTGGGTTTTTGGGGTTTTTAGGTTCCCTAATGGGGTTTTTGGGGTCTCTAACAGGGTTTTTGGGGTCTCTCACCGGGTTTTTGGGGGCCCCTGAGGTCTCTAACGGGGTTTTTGGGTTCTCTAACGGGATTTTTGGGTTCTCTAACGGGGTTTTTGGGGTTTTTGAGGTCTCTAATGGGGGTTTTGAGGTCTCTAATGGGGTTTTTGGGGTCTCTAACGGTGTTTTTGGGGTCTCTAACGGGGTTTTTGGGGTCCCTGATGAATTTTTGGGCTGGCAGTCCTGGCCACCATGCGGGACCTGTCGCGCCGGGGGCCGCTGGAGGCCGCGGCCGGTGCCACCCTCGGGGACACGCTGCGGATCCTGCGCCTCGATGTCACCAGCGACAGCTCCGTGGCCGAGTGCCTGGCGGGGGTCCCGGGGGGGCGCGTGGACGTCGTGGGTGAGGAG